GAAAGACCGTGCGCGCAGCTCCTCCCGGGGCGACGCGGACGAACAAAAGCTGCGACCGCAGGTAGCCCGCTGTGGGCTCGGGCCGGGCGCCAGGGTAGTCGGGGTCCTGGGCTGCGGTTCATTGCCGCCCTCGGTTTTGAGGTCCTGCGCGCTTGGCGCAGCTGGGCTTCTGCGCGCCGCGTCGGTCCCCTTGCCGGCCCCGGGAGTGTCTCCGCCGTCGGCGGGAGCGCGACACTTTAAAGCGGACCAGCTTTTTTAGCCCTCGGCTCTTGGCCTCGTCTCTTACGCTCACGAGTCACCTTGGCGTCTCCTTAACCCTAGTGCCCCTGGCGTCACCTCTGGCGCTCTCCCAGGGGCGACTCTCCCGGCAGACCCGGGCTTGCGACCGGCTTTCTGAAGAGGCTCCCTCCGACCCGCTCTGGGCACAGCCAGAGTCTAGTTTAGATGGGAAGATTGTCCCTCCCCGGGGCGGGCGTCCGCGCTTGCTTTCCTCCAGGGTGATTTCCCACTAGAGGCAATAAATAGCCGGGTGGAGCGCGTCCCCGACGGCCTAGGGGCTGCGATACCGAAAAAGCCCGGCAGACTTCGGGGCGGCCTCCCGCGGGACTTTGCCCGCCAAATGCAGAGGCGCAAAACCCCGCGTCTCTAGGACTGCGGGGTTGGGGGGTGTTGCGCAGGCGTTCGGAGCCCGGCAAGACTGGTGCGCACCTCAAGTGCTCGGCGGGGCCAGCGCAGCCCGCCGGCTACGGGTCTCCAGGGTCAGGGGCACACTCGGCGGCCGCGGGCCACGTGCTCTGCGCGCGCGGTGCGTGCAGAGCCCGCGCGCAAAGCTCGTCGGGCGGGGGCTGTGCGCCTGCGCAGTGCGGCCTCCCCGCCCCCCCTCGTTCCCTAGGGCTTCAGCCGCCAGGGGGCGGGAGTGGGCAGCGCCCAGTCGGGTCGGAGTTGGGCGGGTCGGGGCAAACCGGGCCGACAGGTGCCCCGAGGCTGCTTTCTGGACGGCGCCTGGGGCAGTTCGATGCCTGTCTGTTGGCGGCTGGCCTAGCCACACTATATGGAAAAAATTACGGGGCTTCAGGGCGTCCGCAGCGGCACTGCCCTTTGGAATGCCGGCCGCCTCGGCTCCCTGAGGTGCGCGGGAGGGCAAGAGGCGTTTGGGGCCTAGGCATTGGTTTCTTAGCCCGAACCCGTTTCCAGAGCGCGATCTGTAGCCCCCTGGGATAGCTGTTAGACATGGGAGGTTGGTGGAATTTGGGTTTTTTCAAAGGCCTGAGCTTGCCGGGTCCTAGACTAGTGGGCTTGGGGCTGGAGCTCTGCTGCGAGGACTCTGGCTGGTGAGGCGCCTCCCCAGTTCTGGCTGTTGGCTAGTCCTCCCACAGGAACTCCCGAAGTGGTAGGGTCCTCCCTCTGCCTATTTATGGCGCATACCTGCTGCCTTCCCAGAAGGACTTGAGAGGCGGAGCTTCCTCTGCTTGGAAACAAGTCCGATGGATGCGTGTGAGAGTTCCCCGGCTCGTCAGACGGGTTTTGGGGCTGTGGTGCCACATGGCTTTTACGTGTTTCTCAAGGGAAGGGCTGAAAAATCAGACAACCTGACCACAGACAGACACTGTATCGGTGGCCTTTCTTCCACTGGCTCCACGTATTAAGTGCGACACTTTTAACTTGGGGCATCTGATTAGCACTGTGTTATACCTGGAATCCCTTAAAAGACTTTTCCTCCTTCCCTTTTGAAGGACTTAAAGGAGAAGAAGGAAGTTGTGGAGGAGGCAGAGAATGGAAGAGATGCACCTGCGAATGGGAACGCTGTGAGTGTCCACCTTGCTCAATACCTCCTAACTGCTCCTGGCCAAGACGTTCTCTTCCTGGGCTTAGTCCGGGGGTGGGGGAGGAGGCTGGGTGGTTCTGTGTCAAGGTCACCTGGTGGCTCTTCAGGGGTCTGAGGCTGTAGAAGTGTATTGGGCAGTGATGGTCTGTCCTAGGTAATAACCTGATATGTTTTCTGTCGAGGAGAATGAGGAAAATGGGGAGCAGGAGGCCGACAATGAGGTAGATGAAGAAGAGGAAGAAGGAGGGGAGGAGGAGGAGGAGGAAGAGGAAGGTGATGGTGAGTAGCCTTGTCTGTCTCCTCCTTTGGGGGGGTACCTTTCCCTGGCTTCTGTCACAGGTGGAGTTGGCTCCCAGGGTGGGGGCCAGTGAACTACATACAATTGGGTTTGTACCTGTGGAGTCAGGGCCTTCCTTGTTTTAGATTAAAGCTGTGTCTCACACTGTCCCACCCGATGGAGAGTTCCTCCACCCACTGAGTGGGGTCTGGCCTCTCTAGGTGCAGGTGCTTGCACCTCTGGGTCCTCTCTCCCATCTGAAGACAAGTGCCTGCATGGGTGTTGTGGGTATCCCAGCTGCCCTGTTAGGCAGCAGAGACAGATCCAGGGACATTTACACCTGGCAAATCTGTTACTGGGAGATTCCTTAAGGAATGCAGTTCAGTTTTCCCTTTTTCCTGCTCCTTTCCCCCAAGTTCTGGGTCCCACTGGGTAGAAGGGAGCCAGAACCCTCCTTGGTTGGTTGATTACTGAAGGGTTGTGGTTCACCTGGGGTTTGATTGTCCAGGTGAGGAAGAAGATGGAGATGAAGATGAGGAGGCTGAGGCAGCTACAGGCAAACGGGCAGCTGAAGATGATGAGGTGGGTTCTGACTTGAGGGATGGGGTTGGGGGCTGAGAGGACTCAGTTGTATTTGGGGTGCTGGGTATTTCTGAATTGCTTTAAAGGCCTCTGGGACTATCAGCAGGAGCTGAGGCAGTTGGTGGGTGGGCTCAGTGGGTTGGAGCGGACCTTAACAATATTTTTCCTGCTCAGGATGATGATGTTGACACCAAGAAGCAGAAGACCGACGAGGATGACTAGACAGCAAAAAAAGGAAAAGTTAAAGGCCTCTGTGACCTATTCACCCTCCACTTCCCGTCTCAGAATCTAAACGTGGTCACCTTCGAGTAGAGACTCCCGCCCACCTGCCTACCCACCCACCTCAGGCAGCGCCGCCTGCAGATGACACGCACTCTCCACCACCCAACCAAAACCACAACGTGAATTTGCAACAGGGGAGGAAAAAAGAACCAAAACTTCCAAGGCCCTGCTCTGCTTTTTTTCTTAAAAGTACTTTAAAAAGGAAAATTTGTTTGTATTTTTTATTTGCATTTTATATTTTTGTAAAGGTTGCTTTTTTTCCCTTTTTTTTGTCTATGAAATTGCTGTTTATTTTTTTTGGCCTGTTCGATGTATGTGTGAAACAATGTTGTCCACAATAAACAGGAATTTTATTTTGCTGAGTTGTTCTAACAAAGCTCTGTCTCAAGCCTGTTTCTTTCTGTTCTGGTTTCTTGAAACCTGGGGAGGGGCAAAGAGGTGGGGGATGATCTTGAACTCAGCTCCAGCTCTTGACTGGGTAGGGATAGAGGTTGAAGATTCCAGTTTGGGAGACTGTTGTGTCCTTGTGGCACCAGTGTCTGGTGCGGGGCACTGGAGTTAGGGGCTGAGGGGAGAGCTGCTTACCAGTTTTGTCTACTGGTTGTACCAAAAACCTTTCCCTGGGACCACATTATTGGATGCCAAGTGAACCTGTGTGCCCTGGAAGGTGTCTAGGGCCTCAGACTGGAGGCACAGGCCAGGCTCGTGGATGCACTCTTGCCATGGGACAGCTGACCTTCCCCTGCATAGGCCTCAGTGGATTAGGTTGTCTGCTGAGTGGCTCCCCCTGGTGGTGGTAGGTGGCACCTTATCCCTTAGGACTTAATTTCCAGGGCAGTGATGCAGCCTTGTCCTCATTCTGCAAGCTTTGGCCTCCTGGAGAAACAAGTTCCTGGGTTAGTCTGGCAGGCCATCCTGCCCCTTGAGCATAGCTAAAGATAATAGGTGGGCCAGTTGGGACTAACTGGAGGAAGTGTGCGACCTCAAGTTACAGGCCTCGGGAAGGTGACGGTTAAGAGCCCACTAAGAACCTCAGGCTCATTTCCTAGGCTGGGGTCCACAGGAGAGCTTTATAGGCAGGAGCCTCCTGCATTCTAGTCAGGGAGGTTTGACAGCCCAGCTGTGGAGGGAGGTACAGGGAATGGGCTGATGGCAAGGTGGAGACTGCAGGACACTGCCAGGTGACATCTAAATATGTGGATCCTGCTCTCAGCTGTGCCTCCTTTGTCTCTCCTGAATAGTCTTAAACACATCTCTGGTGTCTTGGTACAAGTGAGATACTTGTTTGGGGTGAAAGAAAAGGGATTAAGGGTCGGGGACACAGGCACCCCCCCAACCCCCACCCCATAGCCTGGAGTTCTGACTTTGTAGGTCTGGGTGTGGACAAAGATGGGTGGGGACTGAAGTCATGCACCCTGCCCCTTCCAACACTGGCTATGTGGGGCTTCCTTTTCTCACCTTGGAGCTGACTGCTGTGGGGGCACACTGCTTTATCACAATAAGAGAGTCTGGGGCCCCAGCCCCTTCTAACAGGAGGAGACATTGTGGGGTATTTCATCCACACCTTACACCACTGGGGCCTGGGTTAAGGGCAGATGCTGGGAGGGAGAGAAGCAGGCACACATAAGACAGCATCTAGGGCAGCGGTTCTCAACCTGTGGGTCGCGACCCCTTTGGGGGTCGAATGACCCTTTCACAGGGGTCACCTAAGACCATCGGAAAACATATATAATTACATATTGTTTTTGTGATTAATCACTATGCTTTATGTCCAATTTGTAACAATGAAATTGGGGGTCACCACAACATGAACTGTATTAAAGGGTCGCGGCATTAGGAAGGTTGAGAACAACTGATCTAGGCTAAAGCATCATGATTCAGGGATCAATGGATGTTGGAGGCAGGTCTCATGGAGGATCCCCCAGGCTTTGGCCTGAGACCTTGAGCATAAGAAGGAGCCATTTACCACAGGGAAGGGGCCAGAGATGAAGGTCTGGAGGGCAGGAGAGAGACCTGGGCTGTACCAGAGTAACTGAGGCCTAGGTGTTAATAAGGCAAGCCAGGGCGAGGGCACAGCAAGAGGAGACAAGGCTCAAGTCACACACCAGGGACCATACCAAGCTGGACACTGCCCCTCTGGGTAAAGTAAAACTCTGAGACCAGGACCCCCTCTTGCTCTTGCCTACCCTGTGCCTCACCTCCCTTGCTCACCAGCCAAATCAGCCTCTTGTGTCCACAGAAAGCTTGGTCCTCCCTTATAGCCTTTGCACTTGCTGTTCGTGCTACAGGTATGTCTGACTTCTAGACTTCTCATGACTTGCTTCATGTTAGGTCTCAGTTCCAGTGTTATCTTCTCAGACACCTTCCCTGGTCCCCAGTCTAAGAAGGCCCTTCCCAGTTCTGGCCCTCTGTCGCAGAGCAACTCTCACAGTATGAGTTTATATATTTACCTGCTTGTGTGTTTTGGCCCCCTGAGGTCAAGGGTCACTTCTTTAAAGGAAAAAAATATATATATATATTTCAGAGAGGAAGGGAGAGAGAGATAGAAACCAGTGATGAGAGAAAATCATTGATTGGCTGCCTCCTGCACAGCCCCACTGGGGATCAAGCCTGCAACCCAGGCATGTGCCCTGACCAGGAATTGAACCATGATCTCTTGGTTCATAGGTCAATGCTCAACCACTGAGCCAGATGGCTGGGCCACTTTTTTTCTTTTTTAAATGTTTTTATTGATTTTAGACAGGAAGGGAGAGGGACAAAGAGATAGGAACATCAATGAAAAACATTGATTGGCTGCTTCCTGCACACCCCCTACTGGGCATCCAGGCCAGCAACCTGGGCATGTGTCCTGACCAGGAATCGAACTGGTGACCTCTTGGTTCATTCAACCACTGGAGCCACTTTTGGGAACAACTGGCTCCTGACTTTTCAAGGTAAGACTGGCCAGCTGGGCTAGGGGCCACTTCTTATTCAATACTTTCTCCCCCACATGGTAAGTATTCTGTCCATTCCATTCAGTTGTTCATTCATTCATTAGTTCGCATATATACCAGATGCCTTCTGTGCTAGACACATAGGCTCCAGAGATAAAGAAAAGAACAAGAGAAACAAGCCCCCTCATCCTGACTGCTAGTGAGACACCATGCATAACCCTTTCCACACCTGTCTCCACCACATTTGTGGTTTCTGCCGGATGCCCGAATTCTGGGAAGGCCTCACCCTTCACAGGGACTAGAGCTTAGCTGTCCTCAGTGCGTCACTCAGGCCCAAGAATGCCCATTCCCCCATTGAATTGTTCCCAAACTGCTGCCAGGGTCAGGGTTAGATAAAGGCTTTGTAGGAGGGACCTTCTGACCCTATGTGACCATCTTACACCTCTGCACAGGCTGGGCTGCTGACTTTTCAAGGTAAGACTGACCAGCTGCTCTCCGTCCTGCTGCCCAGGACAGCACAATCTTGCTGATATTCCCAAAGCCTGGAGCCCAGGGGGAACTTAAGGCAGAAGAAGGGGGTTAGGAAGGCCACATACGCAATGTGAAGGGTTTGGGTCAGGTCTAACCCAGCTCCCTCAGGCTGCGGCCCTGCTCTGCTCAGAGCTACTACTCTCCAACTCCCCGGAAAAAAAGTGAGAAGCTGCCCCATACATAGACATGGCAGTTAATATGGGGCAAGTAACTGAACCTTACTGAGTCTTTATCTGTTCCTCTGCACAATGAGAACAATAGCATGAGGCATGAGTCAGGGTCCAGGGCTGCCTCTCTTGGGGTCCTACATCTGCACTGAGCTCCCTGCTATACCCTTCACTCCACCAAAAGTTTGACCTGGAATAGCCCTTGATGACTCCAGCAGAACCCACTTTCCTCTTGTCCTGAGCCTGGCACATCACATGATTAAACACAACCCGGGGGCCTATCCTCAGGGTCCAGGATCACCTTCGTCCTACCTACTCCCAAAGTCTACCACAGCAAGGACAGATTGGAAGATTCGTGAGAGATGGGCGCCCTCTGGTGGCCATAGAGGAACTGCAGGGGGCTCCCCTGAGTTCTGCTCAGTCCAGGAAAAAACCCTTCAGTGGACCCTGGGCCCAGGGACAGCTCACCCACCCGCCACCGCCCCACAACATCTTCCTCCATCTCTGTTGCTGGAAACTCAGTGAGACATGACAGCCAGTGGTCATTACCCAAGCCTTCCTGGGCAACTGAGGGTTCAATAAGGGACTATCCTTTTCCTAGGAGACCCCAGGCCTCCTCAGAGCTGAGGCCACAGTTGGCTCCTCCAAGGTCACTGGCCATCTCTGGGTTTTACTCCTTGGGCTCCTCTTGTTTAGCCCCATTTTAATGGCTTGCTGTGCAAAGCACCGTCCTCAGGAAGGCCCACCTCTTAGTCATTTCTGGGCTCTGTTGTAGGACTCCTCACAGTGGCCGCTGTCCTGATACAGCTGCAGGCCCCTAGGCTGCTTGGAATTGGGGTTTGGCTTTGGTGGCCAGAGGCACCCAGTTGCACTCCCTGGCATTCTCTGAGCTTCCTGCCAGGCTACCCCAGGTCTGAGAGCCAGGATCTGGTGTCACCTCTCCTCCACTGTCAGCGCTGGCACAGGGTCCAAAGGCCTCCTATATCTTAGTCTCCCCCAAGGCCCCGATGCCCCACCTGCTTCTGCCAGCATCTGCTGTGGCCTCCAGTGTTCTGGACGCAGGCCACTCTATGGTCCCTTCCTGGTGGAAGCTGCTTTATGGGGATGGAAACCCTGGTCCCAGCTTTACTCAGGGTACTCCAATTTTGCATGTGGCTGCTTATCTCCCACCCACCCCCGGCCCCCAAACCCAAGACTAGGCCAGCCAGAGAAGGGGCAAGGTTGTCCCCAGGCCTCCCCCTCCAGGGACCTCAGACTATGCTCACAGGGTCTGATCTGAGATCAGAGGTGATGGACGTTCAAATTAGGAAACATTCTAAGACCACCTGGGGCATTGACCTTATGTACTGGGTGAATGGTATGCATTATTTATGGAGAAAGCCTAGAATTCTGAATTAAATTCTGTGAATGGACCCAGCTTAGAGGGTGCATGTGCTCATGGGCTTTCTGTCAAGTCTGCTGCCTGTAGCAACAAGAAGTGCC